TCACTGCCAAACTAAAATTCCTGTGATCAAAGCACGCTTCTTTCAAAATTACGTATCAAAAGTGTAATGAGTCACTATATTGTTTGCACTATGTATTCAAATCAGACAGACCAAGACTTGTATGAGTCATTAGTCTTACCGAAATTTAACAATAGAATCATGTGACAATATGTAGCTTACGTAGATTGCGTATCGATCGCTTTTTAACCTAGACTGGATCACTTGATGATTCATAATGTTTACGTTTGTATTGATTCCAGTCATTTTTATCCGTCAGGTAAATTAGTTAGGTGTGGTGTATGAGATTTAACATGTACATACGTTTACTGTATGTAATTCAACGGCCGTACAATCCTTTCGGAAATTATCAATTCGAGGAACAGTTGGCCCAAACCTTAGAGCGCTGGAGAGCTGTTTCGTCTCGCTATGGAACTCCTCAGCAGTACACACCTGCGACCCCTTCTAGTCAGGGATTGAACCCAGGGTCTTCAGGTTACGTGGTCAACACGTGATCATTGAACCACTTGGAATCCAATCATCAACATTTCCTACTTCTTTCAGTTCACGATATAGGGTAAACCTAGCGCAATGCTGTTGTTGAGTTACTCTCCTCATGTTCTAATTGGTTAACTCCACTGGTCACATCTTCTCAACGGAGCTTCGGGAACCACCTCTTGGAGCTGAGGAAGCCTGTACTAAGACGAAACAGATGTCCAGTGTTCTCAGGTTTTTCAATTTTACTCTAAGTGATGTCAGTCTATGATAAATTCCAAAACCTGTAGACTGAATTTATCAGTTCACTTGGTTATCACCTGATGATGAATTCATGTAGAAATGGATTACTCAGCATTTTTATTCATAACAGACTGACATCATTTGGAGAACCAATAAAAAAACTGGCCAGCAATGAACTACTGTTTTGGCCTAGTTGTTATGGTAAATAAATCTTATGAAATACTGTAATACTTGCCTGTGATGACAATTTTAATACATTGAATATTCCCATTTAGACATTTAGAAAACAGATTGATTGAGTGAAGAAATGCATATTCCTTTTCATTTAGGTCCGTCTTCATCTTGGTCTCTACACTAATATGCATAGGAGGTTTACAATTTAATTAAATTACCAATCACATGGGGTGATATTGTAGAACTAGTCATGTAAATAATCAATCGAGTTACTAAAATTGGAAATATGAATATTGATCGAAACAAGGGGAAGAGGAAGGGGAAGAGGTGTACACAGTCAACCTAGACGTTATATCATGTTGACGGCCATGGTAATGAAAGTGGTTGAACATACAAAGGTTAGGTTTGTGAAGGTGGATTGCAATCGCTCCTACTATGTGAAGTAATCGAGTGCATAATCCATGAGGTAAATTAATTGGAATCTGATAGATAATTTTGAAGGCTTTTCTAGTAACCACTTGATGTCCTGTGTCAGCTAAGTGTGGAAGTATGGAGCTCTTTATAGTTCTAATTTGTCCCTTATTCAACCATGATGGGTGGTGCTCAGAAATTCGACGATAGAACTGCCTCATTGTACGCCCACAGGAGCAGTGGAATTGATAAATGCATATAGAAGTGGCAGAATCAGGCAGTTTGTCTTTATTTCTTGCACCTAGAATCGGGCGATTGTAGAAGGCTGGACATAATGTAGCGGCTGGGAATGCTTTATGCAAGACTCTTTTTATGCGTTGTGTGATGATCTCACTGGGAATGTCACTCTTAAATTCCAGCTTCAAGAAGATTTGCTTCTTAGGAACTGTTGGCATTGTTGTTTTAACCCTTGTCATATTCATGTGCTTAGTTACAAACTTGTCTCGGTAGCCATTCCTACTAAGCAGATCACGGATGGTGGTTCACTCTTCCTTTATAGCATCCTCTCAGCAAATAGCTGAGGCACGTATGCTAAGCATTTCAGTAGGTTCCTTTTGTATTGGAGGGGTACAGCACTAATGAAGTGCATCTATTGACCTGTTGATGTTGGCTTTCTATAAACACTTCGCTTCAGGGTTCCATCTGACCTTCTTACCAACAGAATATCAAGAAATGAGATACTATCATTTTTCTCCTCTTCCATGGTGAAGTTGATGGCCGGGTGAGCACTACTAAACTTATTCAGAACGGCATTCTTATCAGTCTCATTTTTGAGAACTCTAAAGCTATCATTCATGTAACGACAACATAACGAATTCTAACGGTATTGAAGCGGTATCAGTAGATAAAGTTCAACAGAATCGTTGATGCTGAAAATACAAAACTGTAAGATTGATGTTTACACCATTATTCATTACAGTGAACAATCTCTGCTAACACACAAGAAAGCTAAATAACATTACATACCTCTTAGTGTACTCCCTGTTAATACCGTTATCAAAACCTTAGATATCTGTCGTCACAATAGTCGTTTACAATTACTAAGATACATTTTTATCGCGCGTCAAGCCCTCGAGTGGAACCCAGATGGGAAACGACGAGCTGGGCATCCCAGATGAGGGTGACATGGAGGAGATGGTGTGAGGAAGAAATGAGAGCTTGTGGGCAGTGTTGGAGGCAGGTTGAAAAGATTGGAGAGAAGAGAGTGGAGTGGAGACGTGCTACTGAAGGTTTATGTTTCATTAGGAACCCAAGGGACAAATAAAAAGATAATAATAATTACAGAGTCAAGGACAATGCCAAACAATACACACACAATGCAAGGTTTATGTACATTACAATGACCTAGTCTATTTCCAGGCCTAGAAGATTTAAAATCCTATTGATTTTTTTCTATTCAACCAATCTAATACTTAAAATTGTTTCACGTGATTTTTCTGGAAACTTTGAAGCAATGCGATTGGTTGAAAAAGCTTCAAGCACGTGCGGCTTGTTATGAAGATTTTTTCAATCTTCCTGCATACTGTATCACCTCTTCTATGATACAAATGTTGGGTAGTACAATGACGTTATCCGACTGACTAGTCACGTTTCGCTGGGTCATGACAAATTATTCCTGAAGACCCATCTGATGCATCTGTGCTGTGGTGTAGTCCAAAGTAAATCGATTGTGGTTGAAAATGAAGAGAATGATTTTCTGACACTTTGAAGAAGGTTATTTGATGAATCTACTACTCCCCGCCTAGGAGAGTTAGGCTGATAAGTATTTGCAAAAACATCTCCTTTAGTTTTAGATGAGAAATTTCAATATTCCACAGCAATGAATCTACAAAACTCCTTTTATTTCATACCATTCAGTTGTGTGGATTAAAGCGTTGCCATATGACTGTTACCAGTGGAATGGTTACATAAACTTCCCAACCTCAATAAACCAAATTCACTTAGGCCTTTTTCAGCAGGTAGTTCTGTTATACCATTTTGGCTCCGTTTGCCAACAAGCATCCGTCTTTTAGACGCCACCGTGAGATCTTGCGTTCAGTTTGAACCAGATTAATCTAGGTGTAGATGGTTGGAATGATAAAGTACTCCACTATGTGATAACTCATCATAATCAACACCACAATATACAACCCCAATGACTTGCTTCTGACCTGGCTTAGGCTATTTCCAGGCCTAGTAGATTTAAAATCCTATTGATTTTTCATCTTTCAACCAATCTGAGACTTGGACATTGGTTCACGTGTTTCTTCTGGAAATTTCGAAGCGACGCGATTGGTAGAAAAAGGTTTCAGACACATACGGCTTCTTATGAAGACTTTTTCAATCTTTTTCCACGCTATAACAGGAGGAGATGCAACTGAAAAACACTCAAACATTCATGCTTCAGAATACATCAAGGAGTGAATACATCTGCCCCACTGTGAACGACTTTCAGCCATATCATCAAGAGTCCTCAACCACTGATTTCTATCGTCTTGAGGACCCCAGCCGGGTATTCGGCATCTTCCCTCATGGGCCAGACCAACAGTCAGAGATTTCATGAACTGCTTCAATGTCCTAGTTCAATTATCCTGAGTCTTTCTTCAACCCTCTCCTAACCTTGCACATCAAGGTAGGCAGAGGATTGACATGTGCAGTCTTTCAAACTACAAGTAGTAACTTTACTAAACATTCCCAAACAGCTGGAAGCATCTACTGAGCCATCCTTAACTACTTTTTCTTTATATGGCTACCTGAAAGTTATAGATTACACTGGACTTCGACAGAAAGAAGGTTAGATTTTCTACGAGAAATTCAGAGACGTAAATTAATAGTTGCAACAAAAAACTTAAAATGTATATAATTTCTGTCAATATGCCTCGTTTGGGGGGTCGACATCCAGTGTGTAGCTGGAAAACACCGGAAATCCTCCAACTGCCTTTGATTCTAACAATTTATCAATCTTTCCCACAGTAAAAGCAATTTCATTGGTTAATATTCAACTGTAGGACATCCACCAGCGGATGTTTCTTGCAAAGTATCATGAATCTGCTTCTCAGTTGTATTTCCGGAACTCTTTGCAATATGACACCATAAGAAAAGCATAATTCAAGTAACGAAACTATCAATCCAGTAGGTGGATTCTTAGTTGGAACACCATCATTCATTAGGATGCAGGTACACTCAGCTGACAAGTCCCAAAGTGAACGAAACGCACATACTGGATTCTACTGATAGTTATCACCAAACAAGCAGCATCAGAATGAAAATTAGACAATATGGAGGCATCTTTTCAAGGAGCCAATATCCTTTGACAGAATTATCAATTGACTCCAGTAAGACAATCAACAAGAAGTTACAAGCACTGGAAAACAAAGAGTCCAAAGTGCATTCGCTATAACAAGTTTCCTTATTTGCCTGGTCTATTTGTTGAAAAAGTATCCCGTTTTCTGCTTATTAAAAAAAACAGTTGACTTAAGGTCATGGGGAATACGACAGACACACATGTGATTGGATTTCTGCTTTTCCCTGAAATATCCAATAGAGAAATACCATTGACTTTTTGTATATGTCCGTTTATCCATCCTACTAATCTAGGCCAAATAAATAACCAATCAAAAAGGAGACAATACTATTGACATTCTATTGGTTAAAAGGCTGGATTCTATTTTATTATTAATAATTTGCATTCATGTATTTTACTTGTCGGTGTGGCAATGACTAGCGACTCCAAGACTTCACGCGTTATCCTAATTCCTATCGATGGTAGTGATCACTGTGATAGAGCATTTCACTGGTATCTGGATAACATGAAGCGAGAGACTGATTGCATAAAGTTTGTCCACGTAATCGAACCAGTTTACAATACACCTGCTATTGGACTGACAATGGAATCACCACCTATACCAGATATGACCCGAGTTATGGAAGAAAGTATTGAAGCGGGTAAAAAGCTTGGACAGAAGTATATGCATGAAGCCAAAGCACATAAACTAGCATCTCAAGCATTTCTACATGTGGATACTAAACCTGGAAGTTCTCTTGTAAAAGCGATTTCTGATCACAAAGCAAGTGTTATTTTGATGGGTAATCGTGGTCTTGGAGCTATTCGTCGTACTTTCTTGGGAAGTGTTAGTGATTATGTCCTACATCATGCACACATTCCAGTGATTATTGTTCCACCTGCAGAGAAACACTAACTTTCCGCCTGTTATGTTGATGACAATAACTTGTAAGAGTTAGAAAAATATCTCATTGTGTAAGTTTACTATCAAATCATTTTGAGACAAGAACTATCATACTTGATTATCTAATAATTGGCTTTGTTTTACATTCACAGAATAAAATTGTGCTCATTTGTGTTTTACGTTCCCTAGTGTTTTAATTAGTGTATTTAGATAATCATGTGAAAGGAGTTTAATGCGTAATACAGCCTGTTTACTATATGCTTACTAGGCCGACTTTTGGATCATTGTGCAGATGGTATTCATAATGAACCGTAAACGTTAAAAGGGAGAAGAATTTGCGTTCTTTGTCATTTCTGTACGCGTAACCAGTTCTATGCTTGTTAAGAGTTTTTACCTCGTATAAAATGATTATGTATCTCCTGCTATGCAGCTGAATATATCCGTTCCATCGACAGTTGTTCAGAACCGATTTTTCCGATGACTAATATATAATTATCTCTTAAGGTTTCATATGAAACTATTGTCCACCTATTAAATTACTATTCATGTCAGAATAGTTACAGTATGCCACTGAATTTCTGGGTTGGATCTTATGATGCGAGTGTAGATTGCAACTGGTAGCTTGATTGTAATGGAGTTATCAAAGTACGCTAAATGACACTGTTAAATTGCCAACATAGTGCGTTTGCACATGTGTTACACATGTCCAGTCACCACCTGCATCGTTGCACAATGTTACCTGAAGTATGTTCAGGCTGAAAAAAAGGCTTAGGGCGGCTAGACCAAAACATGGCATTCCTGTATAAAATCTCTCACTGGTGGTTTGAGGCATGTAGGGAGATGCAGATTGGCCGGTTGAGGTCCATGTGACAACATAAATCAATGAATGGAGACTCTAAGTAACGTGGATCTGAATCAGTGTCAGTAGCAGAGAGGTAACCATACTTTATTTTCATCTTAACCGCTACACTGAATTCAGCATTTTCTTGTTCTTCCTTCCTCTCTCTCTTACTACTACTTTCTACTGCTTTTGACAGATTTTTTTCTCTCATCTTTCATCTTGCTACTTCGTTACCTGTTGAGCTGATATGAGGCGTTGCAACTTAGACCATTACGCGGTAATGCCTGGTCCTATGTTGATATTGATTGATTGTCTGAGATAGATTGTTATTGAGAGAGATGTTCAGTAAACCCGATGTACACCATTCTGAGTACTATAGGTAGAAAGCTATCTTCAGATATCATTTTTTCGTAGCAGACAGGTTAGAGAAAAAGTCCATACACTATTTATTCATTCTCTCTCCCTTCATACACCTTTTCCGACCTCAGTATCTTTATCTTACTACTAACTTTGACTTTAGGCACTGTAGTAAATTGTGATGAACTGATGTACTTGTGTGTAAATCCTTAAAATGATTTATCTGTTCGATGAAAAAAGGTTTCTGTATGATGGTCATGTATTGAAAATTATCTGAGTAAAGAAACAGGAGGAACACTTGTGATTGAATCCTAGTTAGTCGCAACTCACCTCTTTTTATACATAGAAATAGAAAGGAGAGACTAGATCATTGACAAACTTTTCTCATCGTTTTATGTACGCGAAGCTACTTGAACACACAATTTGAGCAGATGATGAAAGCACCCTAAGTGTTATCCTTAAGGAATGACTTCAAAGACCACCCCATCAGCTACTGAAATGACCATTCAGGTTTGTATATTTCCTCTGAGAAGATAGTTTTTATAAAATAAAGAAACGTGATTGGTTACCTTAGTAGTTATCAGGCTAGCCTTTAATTTTATAAAAGACTGTAGGGGGATTCGGGATAAAGCTTTAAAAATTATCAATAGGTATCAAGTACATGAAGTTGGATATTAAGAAAAGACTTATTACTTGCAAATCAATAGTGGAAACAGAAGTTAGGTCCTTTTATCAGTGCTGAAAGCACTGCAGTCACCTTCAATGTTATTGGTCACTTGATAATCTCTCAAGGACAGCAAAATAGTAGCGTCGGTATCCATAGTTCGAACAGTGTTTGCCTGAGTTTACTAAAAGTGAATTCGGAAACTACTTATTTTTTTTAGTCAGGTAAACTTTAAGTGTAATTGTCTCATTTTTTTCATTCCAGGTAACCATATAGTATCATAAGCCTTCACACAATAGATTTAGCTTATGGCTCATACGACATGAAGTTGTATAATTTCATTTATTTTACACGTGGTAGCTCATGAAGTCGGATTTTAGGTTAAGACCTGAAAGTAGTCCCAATCACCGTTTCTTTGTTGCTTTATGAACTAGGAGAGGTGGCAAGATTTAACGAGTTAATGCAAAAATTTCAGTGTTCAATTTAATATTGAACCATACTGGAGTGTAAACGTTTCGTTCATAATTTTCGTCAATTTGTGAAATACAGGCATGTATGAACTCCAGTAGAATTAGCAACTAGTATGAGACGATCATATGAGAAAAAATTTCCCGATTTAATCGAAATTTACGTCGTTGAAATTCCTGTATTAAACCAATGATATCCTTCCAATAATTCAAAGCTTTTCAAAACTACTTCATAGGTACCTTTAAGGCGATTGGTCACTTCAAGGTTATTTGATACTGATTGGATGACGATGATGAAATTACCTTCCAAATACTTGTGGGATTTTGTATTAGAGAGTGGTTTATTTTTCATTAGCACACAGAAATGCACCTAAGATAAGTGTCACCATGTGATTACAGCTTTCTAAACATGTAGGAATAACTTAATTTGATATTATCGATGTTTGGGGCTAGCAGTAAAGTCTAGGATGCGCGTTTCGTCCTATTTGGGACTCGTCAGCTAGATGTAGCTACCTAAGACGCGAATAAATTGACATCCTTAGGAGATACTTGTACTTGCTGCTTGGTCAGGTTTTTGAAGGTCAGATATATCTAAGAGAGTTAGACATGAAAGTACTTGGACCCACTGTAAAGTCTGCAAAGTGACCAAGTGAATAATAAAAAATACGTGAACAATAATGACATCATGAGACACTTGGACTGGTTACAAATAGCGACTATTCCTCCTCACTGAGCTAGAAAAATGAGAACGCAAAGACCGGCCTGTGACCGTAAGGAAGATACTTTATTCTACAAAATACATCATCTATTTACAGTTCTAATAGGCTTATAAAACTACTAGGTCAAAGGTTAAGCGACCTATTTTGATTGGTCAACTGTAGGATAAATTGTTCAATAAGGTTTGTCCTGAGCATACAGTGATATAAGACAAATATTGTAATCCAAAACTCATATTCTAACTGCTGATAATAAAATATTGATTTCTATTAAGGTAAATTTCGATTAGTCTGTCAGTCGTTATCATAAAAAGAGTCTATTGGTGATTAATCAGCTTTAGTTGATAGCTATGATTCCACACTCTTGGTCGACTACAATAGTCGCTCTCAACTGCTCTTCTGTACTTGTCAAGTTAACTGCTGTAATATGGACTACAACTGATCACAATGATTCGGATCTATTCACTCCTAACTTGTTACAAGTGTATGTTATGGATTATGTCTTTAAATGTGGACAGTATTCGATGTTACGATGCATAATAGTTGTTATATATACTGAGTAATCCTGTGAACATTCATGCAGTAGGCAATAAATTACGCCTATTTTGTGATGGCTATTAATACTCTACTTGGCTGCCCATATCTCGGTAGGTGGAGCAATGTTGGAACCCATAACCCATCGATTGGAATTCAATTCCTTAAACTAATGAATTGCAGTTCTACAATACTCTAAAGATCATAGTTAAACAATTAGTTGTTAAGAAAGGAAGTTCTTCAAGTATAAAAAGTTGGTCAGCTCTAGTTATCAATGGATGACTGTGGAGCTTCATCAAACAGGCTGTTGATTTGATGATTGGTCAAGTAGCAGTATGCTGAATACATTTAACGCACTACCCCCCCCCCCGTTGTCTCCCAGCTGGTCTACTATCAATCGACTACTTAATTGATAATCATTGGTCAATGGTTGAGAAGTTGAGAATCAGTACTAGCAAGTTTGTCGATGTAGTTTTTATTTAAACGATTGAATAGTTCCACTAGTCAACCTTGTGAGTATTATTTAACAGTTTCAAGGTTAATAGTAATCAGTTAAATCAAGAGACAGAATGCTGCTTCAGGAATGACATTTACGGGTAATCAGGCTAATATGTTTAGAAAGCGAATGGTGAGTAAGACCAACATACTTTACTCCACTGGAGCAGGTAGATCGATAACTTCACACATAATAGTGGTCAAAAGGGTTAACTTATCTTTTATGCATAACTGAAGCATTGGTTAAATAAATAAAGTTAGTCTCAGTTTGACAGGATAGAATGTCTCACTCAAAGAGGATACGACACAGTCTATGAATATTTCTGTTGATAAGTTTCTATTGGACTGTAAATTCTTGCAAAACGGGCTTCTTAAGAACCATGGAAATAGAAGGGTTATCGACTTTCATTTTTATAGTTTTTTTGTTGTTGAAATGCTTAGCATCAGATTCCTGAACACATATCAGGCTAGCTGTACAGGGTAGAAATGAGAACACTTCGCAGAATGATCGATTCTGATCATAAGATGAGTGCAGAAAGTGAACTTTTTTAAAAAGCTTAATGGTATTTCCCTACATACTAAAGTAGTATGATAAGAAAGGCGTAGAAAAAGGTAAAAATTAAAAGAAACCAATGCCAAAAGAATATCGAGATTAGCTGGGTCTATTATTTTATTTATCCCTTGCGTTCCTATTGGAACATAGAGCTTCAGTAGCGCATGGCCATTCCACTTCCTTCTCCCTAATCTTCTTTTAACCTGGCTCCAAGACTGTCTGCCCACAAGCTGTCATTTCTTCCTCACACCATCTAACCCATGTCACCCTAACCTCGGACAACCAACTCATCGTTTCCCATTCGCCTTCCACTCGACAGCCTGACCTGGCCTGGCCTGGCCTGGCCTCGCCTGACCTGACCTGACCTGCCACCTGATGTCCCCGAATGCTCTTCTCAGTCTATGCCCAATCCAATCCATCTCCACTTCCTTCCACTGCGTATTTATTGGGGGATAGGTTCTCGGTTAGTTCGTGCCAGCCACAGTTCCTCCTTCCTTATTCTTATTATTCTCACCATCTCATAGGATCTTCAGTATCGAGTAAGCATACGA